AAATTTACAGCCCTTATTACCGAAATTTGTTGAAACTATTTATTTATATCAAATGGCAGGCGTTTTGATAGTTATCATTAGCCCTGGAGCCGACTTCGGGGCTTCATGAAGAGGAGAAGGGACATCAAAGTGACAAAAAGTCGAGATGGGAGACAGAATAATGATTAACAGAGGTAAAAGAGACAGACAGACACAAAGGCATAAAAAAGGTAAGATGAGTACTGCGCAAGAGGACGAACATGAAAAATAGTCGGGCCATAGAAATTTGAAGTCTGAAGTCAACTGCCGATCAATAGACTTTTTTGCCGTATAAGTATACGTTGCCCAGGGTGCACCACGTGGAGGTAAGTCTAATTTGTTGAAACTAAGATCTATAGTCTGTTAAAATCGATTTTGTTCACTTTTTTTTACTTTTAAAACCCCGGTAATTAACCTCACGTCAATTGATTATATCTAACTTATAGAGACAACAAAGGGGCACAATTTTAAGTAAATTCACTCAGGACACAAAGTATTCAGCATTATCTTTAGCAAAGTTTGACTACAGTTGAATTTCATTTTAAGGGGTCGATTTGGAGCAATCGTTTTCGTTTTAAATACCAATATTTAAAACTAGTTTTAGTTTTGTTATCACATCTTTCACGTGCCAGATCTATCTCTTCCAGAAAAAATTGTAAAAAAATCGTCATAAACTTTATTTTTAAGATAGTAGGAAACAGAGAATATAAATAAATACTGAAAGACTATATATGAAAATTCGTCTCCTTGTGGATACTATGAAGAGCCAATTATGGAGGCTATTGTAAAGCTATTTCCAGGACGATCAGCTGTTTCACTGGGAGGTGGTGATATTTGATCGGACGGTGTTTGTTTTAAAATTCTGGGAAAAGGCAATTGAGAGGGTTGGTTTTGCAGTGGAAAAGGTATATTTTGTTGGAGATTTTGCGAATGAAATCCCAGGGGTGGAGGGAAGAAGGAAAAGGGGATGAGAACCGGATAGGCTTGAGAAGGAGGTGGAGGAGGGACTAAGGATGACTGATTCAAGGAGTCTGTGGGCGTCCTAATAGAAGACTGGATCCTTTTTTTCGCATCATCGGATTTATGTGCTTGGATACGAGATCGACGCTTTCGTCTCCTGTAGTTTCCGTGTTCGAACATGTCTTCAGCTCCATCAGTAACTGTCCAGTAGTTACCTTTTCCAGGTTGAGATTTATCCCTCCCTAATTTGACGAAGCAGTCGTTTAAGCTTAAGTTGTGACGAATTGAATTCTGCCATCCCTGTCGATGAAATCGATAGTAGGGGAAATTCTCCATTATGAAATTGTAGATTCCTAAACATTAACAATTAAATAGTTAACAAGCATAAGAATAACACTGCATTTTTTAACCGAAACGGTAATCCAATCGCAGCCTTAAGGGAACGTAAATAAATAAGCAAAGACTTCAGCATGTTTGATCAATGAGAAGGCGCGATAGAATTCAACATCTGCTAGTGTATACACCCTGATTTATCATATTGTAAACAACCTGCTGTGTTCTCCCCCAGTGGATAATGTTTATGTTAATGACTCATTCTTCTTCCTCCTCTTCTTCTTCGGGGGGAGTTGGGTGCGTGGATGTAACTCTGGAAGCACGTGGTAGGAGATTAACATGTCATTGATAACCATCTTGCTCATTGGACACGCCTTCCCCTCCTCCCCCCAAGATGCTGGGCAAACAAATCTGGTTTATGTATTAATAATTTTCACAAATATGACAGCCCTCGTGCACATTTAAAGCAAGTGTGTGTATGCGCGAGTGTGCATTCACTAGGCCTGAAGACGCTACGAGATACAGTAAATACACAAGCATAGAGGTACACATACAAGACCAAACATGCTCATGAAATACTTAAATAAATAAATCTAAATTAGGTTAAGCCAATCTCTTCCAAAGAGCCACAAGAATAAGCTAATAGTACCTTTATTGTTGTGCTTCTGAGAGATATTGTTTGACCAATAAGCCTGGAATTTGTAATGATAATTCTGAGATGTGACAATTCAATAACAGCGTATTTTCGATACAAAAAAATAAATAAATGACCTAGTCTTCGAAGTAGAGCAATAGAGATGTGTATGCAGCACTAGAGTCCCACCTAATTTGTTTGTGTGTAGAGCTTTTCACCAAAATACACCTTAACTCAGTTCTTGCCGTTTTAGCCTCTTCCTGTGCTCTATGTTAATTTGGCACTCTCAAATCAGCTGATATTGACCTATTAGACAAAATAAAACTGTGCTTACAAATTTAATATTTAATCAATTTTGGAATAGAGGAGGGTGGGGGGTGGAGAGAGAGAACCCAGCGCACATCTCATTTTGACGGATGAAGTGATTACGAAAAGAGAAGTAAATAATCATATTACCAGTCAAATTAATATAGAGCGCATTACCCTATAATTTGGTAAGGTGAATCAATACGTTTCGAGCATTGAGTGTGTTCTAAAATGCAAGATTTTTCACGTGCTTATCATTACAACATTATCGCATGTATTCGGAGATAGGTTTATGAGGCAACAATGATAAAAAAGTTCAGTAAGGATATTACCATTTGGAGAAATTACTTCCATAACAAACAGCCCGTATTTAAAATTCAGGTCCAGTATGAGATGCCACCATTTTCCAAAACTTGCTTTATACCTATTCTGAATTAAATATGATGGCCAACTGTGAACATGGGCTAAAGTCAGTTGCAGTATCATTGTGAACAAGTATTTTTATCATTTCTAGGCGAAAGGAATAGAATTTATACTTGTGAGTACACTTCCGAGAGGCTAATAATTTAAGTGTTTACTCATAAAAAATTTTAAATCAACTTCCATAACTGAAAAATAATCCATGAAATAGCCAGTACTTCAACTCAATTATGGTTGTTTATAGAGGCAGTATTGCCTTTAAATAATTTGAGAAAATATTTTCAAAAGCCTCTGTGCTCACCGTTAAGGGTAATTTTCTTTTCCGGGGTACTCTTAATTGCCATGGCAATGAGGGCAATGTAGGAATAGGGGGGTTTTGTGAGGTCCCCTTCATCTATCGGAGTGTTTGCACCACTTTCCGTAGATGTTGAATGGTTGGTATTGGAAGAAGCACTGACACCACTGCTTCTAATTGAGGCGTCAAAATTATGTGAAGGAAAGTCCTTTTTAAAATTTAGCGTTGCTGTTGCCAACTGATTCAACTGTAGCGTTGATTGATTGAATGAGGACTGATTGACTAGTTGCGGATTGTGAAGACGGCTCTGCATGATACTCTCCTGTAATTGGCGCAGTAGGTCGATCGTAAATGGACTCTGCCCGAATCTACTTGGGCTCTCATTAGCAGTACTAGTCATTAGAGTCTAAATCACAAAACACGCCTTTTAACGCGAGAAAATACATGTAAGCAATGTGACGTGTATTTTTACCAGCATCATAGACCAATCAGTGTGACTGTGAATACGTCAATCCTATTGGTTCTTCATCTAAATTAAGTGATTTTCTGCATGCTTGTAATTACAATTGCTGAAAATGTTGTATTTAAAGAAATATAAAATCAAGAAACTGATCAACATCAATAGGCGTCTAAGAGTATACAGATAAGGTTTTAAGGTAATCAAAATTTCTTCAATCGAAAATATTCTCCTATTTCTTGAATATGACAAGATAAGGTCAATCTCGCATGATTTGTAATTTATACAATTAGCAATATACTAAATTATTTTTCTGACCAACCATAACTGATAATTGTAACATATAGAGTTTGAATTTAAAGATACAAATGTTATCTGGCACCGGCTGAATACCCTACCAAGATAAGTATTCCATTGATTTGACAACTAACTCTGATTTCTCACAATCACCGATGTTAGTGTTCGTCTTCCATTGGAAAATCGAGAAATTTGCGATTTTATAAGCTGCATATAAAACAAGGCATTGACTCTTATTGTGCCCAATTCTCTGCCCTGTTAGAAATCAGTCTCTAACAGGTGCTGAGGATGAAAATACACATTAAATATACAGACCACTAAAAATAAAAATGGTTAACGGTCTATTTCAAGTCAAAATTGGGTTTGTAGAGCTTACTTAAATTTACAGATATGAATTAGAATGATGAGTACAGTTAAACTAATACCTGTTGACCTTTAATGTCAGTGATCGTGAATTTAGAACACATCATCTACCACCCAGGAGAAAAGTCAATCCTAATTGTTAAGTCTAACTAGTAACATTTGTCTGAAATTGAGTCGTAACATGAAATAGACACCATGGGGTTACTTCTCTAGCCAAGATAAGTACTGGAAACGACTTTTCTAAATGGGCTGTTGGATCTCTTATGGGTGTACACGACAAAAGGAGTGGTGTTATAAATAAGATATTCAAGGGATATCCAAGTAGTCATTGAGTTCCAACAAATGATCGCCTTTATTTACCTTGAGGAGATATTTCATGATAAAATCTACTCTCTTCGATCACTTAAAAAATTAATTAATTTGAGTTTGCGTGCTCCCATTTTGAATAAACTAAAAAGGTGACGATGGGGTGGCCGATAGACTTGACTCTACTTGGTACACCCTGGGAAACGTATACCCATATGTCAAAAAAGTCTAATATTCATCAGTTAACTTCTGACTTCAAACTACCAAGACTCGACTGTATGTCATATTTGACCACTCTCCCAGTACTCACCTTACACCTTTCTCTATCTTTGTGTCCGTCTTTCACTTTTACATCTGTGAATCACTCTTCTGTCCCCACTCTCAAGTTTTTTATAACTTTGATGTTCCACCCCACTGTGAAGCCCGAAGTCTACTAAGGACTAATGATAAATATCATAAATTCTGTCATTTAAAATAAATAAAAAATAGGTTGCGGTTATTAATATGCACAAATATTCTTAAATCGATCAACATACACCTTGCTCATTAACGCTACATGGTTCTGGAAATTATCACAATTCGTTGGCACTAATAGCGAACGCTTTATCATGATAGAAATTTTTTATTTTCATATTTTCCTTTTCAACAATATATCCTTTCAAAATAGGAGATCTTTAGTCTATTACTTTTCCTTAAAACTCATAAGTAATACGTGCAGTGGGACTACAAATGGCCATATTAACTCCACTTATTACTACAATAGAATTAAGTTAATCAAGTGGAAATTGAAGAATACCGAAATTAATTAGAATGAATTCACAAATAATTAAGATCTATGGATATTAGATGAAAGAAATTAGACAAACCGATTATTCACCTTAATACAAATGTTAAACAAGAATTTTCATTCTTTAGTGGAACATTTTGAGAAATATGTCAGTTAATTACCGTTTTTTCTAACCAGACGCCTTGAGATCTTGTTTAATTGAATTAATTCATATAAAAATTCAAACAAATACAGAAATTCTTTACTAACAAAAAGTCACAATTTCGGATCTGCCTAGAAGGAGAAGTGGAGAAGAGTGCAGCTGTAAGATAATTACATCATGTGAAATGAGGATTATTATAATATAATTAGGGGCAAGGATACCTATTTCCGCAGTTTGGTGAATCTAGAAAATATTTATAATGCATTATTAAGAACTAAATTTCCATTCGAGTTAACCTCTGGAAAACTTTGCTTGGTTGGAAATTTTTTATTACATTTCAAAAATTCTCATCTTTGTAAACCTGCTGGTTTCTTGCCAGCCTTTGCTAATTAGTTATTTAATTTAATTTAATTTTCTCTGAGCATCAGTCCTTTAAAATGTTCAAACAAAATGCATTTTAATAGCTGAAAAATATTCAATTATCTTTCTGCTTTAATGAGTACTAATTTGAACACTTTCGAATTAAATATATTTGTCATCTTTTTCTTGAAGAGGGTGAAATTCAATTAAGAGACGCAAGGTTTGATTATGCCGAAAATGCACTGAATAGGAATGCTTAGTTTGGATCTGATTGGTTGATAGATGTGGCAAATGGGCGATTTGTCATTCGCTACTTGGGCATAGAAATGCGGGCAGATTCAGAAATGGCTGTATTCTATTGGTTAATTTTTACAACAGCAAAAGATTTTTCTTATTGGTTTCTTTCGGTTTTTCAACATTTTTCATTACTTTACTATTATCAAATAACATACTCAAAATTTGAAATACTTATCGTTTCACAAACAATTTCCACTTGATTAACGTAATTCTATCGTAGTAATAAGTGGAGTTAATATTGCCCATTTGTAGTTCCACTGCCGTAACGTCAGGGTTAAATGTTAATCATAATTGTTTTTATCCGAAGGGTAACATTTTTTCCCATCTCACATTCTGCAAGAGGTATTTCAACTACCTGCACCCTTAAATCGTTAACAATATTTTTCAACACAACTTTGAATTCATATTAAAAGTACGGGATAGCTGGGGGCTGATTTAAAGTTTCAGTATCTACTGTATCATTGAATTATTTTGTTGTTTGATGCCTATGAAAGCGAATAAGTGAGGTCAATATGAAGTAAAGGGGTGGATTGTAAAATTTGCTTTAATCACGTTGAATATTAACTACACTTTAAGCCTACTGCTTCTGTGTAGAAGAAAGGAAACCTGAATGCAAGCCATTTGCATCAGACAGCACAATTTCAGGTTAAAGCTCCATGTTCTCAATTCAGACAATAACAAAGTTGTCAGCAATTCTCACGACTTGCCAACGTTTTTGAAAATCGCCATTAGCTCAGTATGCATATGGTCAATCGCCACCATATCGTGATTCACATATTGAAAGTTGAGGAGTGTTGTTGCTTATTTGAAGAGTTTGTGAGTTTATGGAAGAATTTAGCAGGTCTTAACTTGAGAGACATTAGCTGAGCGCTTTCTTATTTCCAACAGACAACTATATGTGGGACATGTCTGCTCATATTACTACTAATCCGAATGAAGACATTGATTCACTCTAAAAGTTTACTAACTAGAAAGCTAAAAAACAAATAATTAAGTAGGTACGTGACTAACGAAAGCATGAATAGCAGCATTTAAATACAAACAATCAGATTAGTGTCAACGATTCCAACAAAAACAGTTACGAATTAGTTAAGTAAATTACCTCCGACAATAGGAAGAATTAAATAACAACTTGGCTAACCCTAACCAGCTTCTAGAGGGATAAGCTGAATTGATCAAGTGGTTGCTTTAACAAATTAGTTAATCAATCATGGAAGGTACAGAAATAACCAACTCAGACATTATCACATAAATCTGTTGACCCTGTTCGATAATATGCGGATAATGTGATTCGATACTTTTATTCCCCATGGCAAAACTGAAAAGTTGCACCTCTAGTAAACGGAGAGTAATATTCAATGGAAAGGTGGGGGGGGGGTAAGATTGATTAATGCTAAGGGTAAGTAAAATTGTATTTTAGAAAATCAGGAGAGTTCCACTTCAAGTTGACTCCAGGACCATCAGGCATATTACAGCTATTTTTGCTCCATTTGAAATCCACTTCAACTTGTCTCATCTTTTGTTATCATCATTTAATTATATTAACTGGAAGGCGTTTTGATGGTTATCATTAGTCCTTTAACTGACTTCGGACTTCACAGAGGGGAGGAACAGATTAAGTCTCAAAATGTGAAGAGGGTGGGGGGGNCAGACGACTCCTTTGTCAGCCGTGTCTACTATCTACATGTTGGATAGAAGTGCTCGCTGATGACTCTGCTCACAGAAAAACAAAATAATTAGACATTATTATTCGAAGTAGTACACAAGTTAGCCATTTTTTGAGCGTGGAAAGCAAGTGACATTGATTATCGAAGGACCGACAAGTGGTTAGGATGAAGCGTTCAAAATCTAAGTCACCAATGGGTCATTTTTAACTTGGGCTGTTTATACATACTGAGAGTTGGAGTGTGTGATAGACTTACCTCCACGTGGTGCACCCTGGGCAATGTATACTCATACGGCGAAAAAGTCTATAAACGGGCAATTGATTTCCAACTACCATGACCCCACTGTATGTCATATTCGACTACTTTCACAGTACTCACCCCACCTTTTTTTCCACCTTATCTACCTTCGTCTTTGATACACTCTTCTGTTCCCCCCCCCTCTTGAATTTTTTACACTTTGATGTTCCTTCCCGTCTGTGAAGACTGAAGTCAGCTAAAGGGTTAATGATAACAATCAAAACGCCTGCCATTTGATATAATAATAATACATACATAATTATTTAGTACTGCCAAAGGAAGCATTTCTAAAATTCCAACTTCACTATTCGTACCCTGGAGAGTATAGCACGTCCGTGTCTTCGATAAGAAGTTCTCTAAATCTATTTGGTTTCGAAAACCAATGGTACTCAAATGACAATCCGCAAGTGGAGCATTAGCATGTCAA